GCCCTCAAAAAACGTATATAAAAATAATGAGAGAGAGAGAGAGAGAGAGAGAGAGAGAGAGAGAGAGAGAGAGAGAGAGAGATTTTAACACTTTTCCTATGTGTGTGTGTGTGGGGGGGATACATGTGTAAATGTTGTAGTGAAAAAGTTTTTGCGAGTACATGCACATTGTATTCGTACTGCTGTTTCTGCAGGTGCGTGTATTGGGTGGTCAGGTCGGATATAATGAATAGCTTTTCCAAGTTAAGTACAGGTACATCAAGAAACGGGATACCCACCGATAGCCTCGCTCCTCATTTTATCTGTTGAAAATTTTGAAAATGAGAAAATGCAACTGTCGAATAATTTTATACAGTGTCAGAAACGAATCATTATTGCTTCTTCATTTCTCAACGGCAGCAAAACAAAGTTCGAATAATAAAAGATACTTTAAAGATAATTAAAGAAAAACTTATGAGATAAAAAAAAAAACAAGAGCGATTAAGTGCTTTACGAGATGACAAATCAAATGTCGAATACTCCAGCACAGGAAATGTTTTACAACCGTTAAAGATTCTCCAGTGTACTTTTAACAACATTTTAAGATTAATGTATTCTAGCTGAAGGTGTGTAAAATGGTGCCAGAACGTAATTAAATGCTCATTTCGACAAAAACTTCGGACACGTGCCTCTCTTTACAATCACACCAGCCTCAGTAACGACACCATTTTAGAAGCGTCTAAGGGAAGAATTGAACATTTAGTTGCAACGACTTTTAAGTTTTCTTTTAAAATACTACCAGACCAGTAATATCCATTTTTTTCACAACAAACTGAATTTTCCTCAATAATAATAATAATAATAATAATAATAATAATAATAATAATGATTCTTTTTCTTCTTCTTCTTCTTCTTTTTCTTCTTCTTATTAAAATTACATCCGCCAAGGAGGTTATGTTTTCATCCCCGTTTGTTTGTTTGTTTGTCTGTTTGTCATCAACGTTAACATAACTCAAAAAGTTATGGATGAATTTCGATGGAATTTTCAGGGTAGGTCAGAAATGTCTTCTGGAATATTTCAGAATCCAGGGTAGACCTACTTTTATTTTAAGGTTTTGAATGTCTGAATCAGGGAAGATAAGTAGCTTCACCAGAAAGTACTATACAAATATGATTTAAAGGTATTTCAAAGAGAAATAGTAAGAACTCCGCACTGGTAGACTGAAGGGGGGGGGGGGGCACGTGACCCCCCTCTTAGCTTCAGAGGCATCTCCAACACCCACTTCTCCACAAAAAAATAATAAGAAAGTTTAAGTAGGCCTACCGTATTACAAACAAAAGTAGACAATCGCAAGCGAATTTTTCATCTCTGTGCCCCACTGGAGTTACTTACTATTATTAAGTAAATTGTCGTCGTGCACTATTATATTTTTTTCTGTCCCTGCCCCTCCCTCCCCCGCCTCCCAAGTCTAAACCAGTGAAATTCTGCGCTTCACATAACCATGCAGTTCCGCCAAAACGTCACTGAAAAAAGCGAAAAAGCGCCGGATTCAACTAGCCCCTACTATCCACACGTTATTAATAAATGTTCCGAAACAATCATCATAAGCGTCTGTATCTGGACGCTGCACGTACTTCGTACCTCTGGCGCCTTACATGTGTTTGTCATTGTTTCTAAGATGTAAATTCAACGGGAAGTGGCTCGTCTTGGTGATATGGCTACTTTATGTAGCATCGATTTACTGGAGTTTTCCTTTACAATGGCAGGGTCTGTGTATTTTGAAAGTCCAAGTATTGTGTGGTGGATTCTGGTGCCTTTTGGCATGTTTCTTACTTCGGTGAGGTTTAGTATTTTTAAATATATAGCCAAACGATAGGTTTAGATGCTGTCAAACCTAAATATTATTTTCCGGTTCTGTAGAGAAGGTGAGGCAGATGGAAATGGGGGGCGGGGGGTCTCCATTTCACTGCTACCAGTAAACATCCGTGAACTAGTAAAACAATAGTCGCAAAAATAGAACATAATAAAATTGTCACCGAAGGTCGATCGTTATCCCTTTTGAAAAAGAAGCCATCATTTTGTAATCAGTGTCTAAGTATATTTTAATTGCCTACACCTTCTTGTATACTAGCCAAGTCCCGCCACATCAAAGGTGCTCATATCTGAGTACAAAGTCCCCCTCAGGCCGCCATTTAGCAGGTCTGTCTTTGTTTTTCAGGCCTCCGGCGTACTGGCCTAGGTTGACCAGAGAATGTCTGAGTGAAAGAAACTTTCTTGTAGTTTTAGTGATTACATTGAATGGGATGAGATCATGAGTTGAATCAATTACTAGCACTGGTATAATAGTAAAATACTGAATAACTGGGCACTGCATGAGAATGTCTGAATGAAAAAAGCCTTTTTGTAGTGTAAATGAGATGAGTTGAATCAAGCATTGGTATACTGTACTAGTATTTAACTGGGTAGTGCATGGAGAAATACATTATACATGTACATGTAAGAGTAGATACTTGGCTCATGTAATTGGATAACTAATTAAATGATTGGATGGATAAATCAATGCGTAAATAAACAAAGGGATTAATAATGTATGGATGAATGAATAATTAAATGAATATGCATATAGTGAAGAAAAAGCTCCAGCAAATCTCCCCATGCTATTTATTTTCTCATCATAATCCTACAGGTAGTAATGATAGATAAATTCAACAAGTGAACAGAGTAACATAAAATAAGGAGAGGGTTTTATTATGTCGTTTTTACTGTTTGACATTTCCAGGTCACATACTTGTCACCAGAGTCTATATGTTACCTGGGACCTCTGGGGGAATTTGCCAGGTGGCTGGGGACTAAACAACCTGGGATTGCAGCAGTTATGTAAGTGGTGGTATTATAACAGGGAATGAATGGATACTTTTGTTTTATTTCAGACATCCCCTCTCNATAGGTTCTAATGACTGATTTTGACTACTAAACAGGGCAGAGGTCGCTTCTAGTACTCTCAATTTTTGCTTACTATGTATTTCTTCTTCTCGTCTTTCTTCATTTCTTTTTCTTCTTCTTCTTCTTCTTTTTCTTCTTCTTATTAAAATTACATCCGCCAAGGAGGTTATGTTTTCATCCCCGTTTGTTTGTTTGTTTGTCTGTTTGTCATCAACGTTAACATAACTCAAAAAGTTATGGATGAATTTCGATGGAATTTTCAGGGTAGGTCAGAAATGTCTTCTGGAATATTTCAGAAGCAAGCATCATCATCCAGGGTAGGCCTACTTTTATTTTAGGGTTTTGAATGTCTGAATCAGGGAAGATAAGTACAGTAGCTTCACCAGAAAGTACTATACAAATATGATTTAAAGGTATTTTCAAAGAGAAATAGTAAGAACTCCGCACTGGTAGACTGAAGGGGGGGGCACGTGACCCCCCTCTTAGCTTCAGGGGCATCTCCAACACCCACTTCTCCACAAAAAAATAATAAGAAAGTTTAAGTAGGCCTACCGTATTACAAACAAAAGTAGACAATCGCAAGCGAATTTTTCATCTCTGTGCCCCACTGGAGTTACTAACTATTATTAAGTAAATTGTCGTCGTGCACTATTATATTTTTTTCTGTCCCTGCCCCTCCCTCCCCCGCCTCCCAAGTCTAAACCAGTGAAATTCTGCGCTTCACATAACCATGCAGTTCCGCCAAAACGTCACTGAAAAAAGCGAAAAAGCGCCGGATTCAACTAGCCCCTACTATCCACACGTTATTAATAAATGTTCCGAAACAATCATCATAAGCGTCTGTATCTGGACGCTGCACGTACTTCGTACCTCTGGCGCCTTACATGTGTTTGTCATTGTTTCTAAGATGTAAATTCAACGGGAAGTGGCTCGTCTTGGTGATATGGCTACTTTATGTAGCATCGATTTACTGGAGTTTTCCTTTACAATGGCAGGGTCTGTGTATTTTGAAAGTCCAAGTATTGTGTGGTGGATTCTGGTGCCTTTTGGCATGTTTCTTACTTCGGTGAGGTTTAGTATTTTTAAATATATAGCCAAACGATAGGTTTAGATGCTGTCAAACCTAAATATTATTTTCCGGTTCTGTAGAGAAGGTGAGGCAGATGGAAATGGGGGGCGGGGGGTCTCCATTTCACTGCTACCAGTAAACATCCGTGAACTAGTAAAACAATAGTCGCAAAAATAGAACATAATAAAATTGTCACCGAAGGTCGATCGTTATCCCTTTTGAAAAAGAAGCCATCATTTTGTAATCAGTGTCTAAGTATATTTTAATTGCCTACACCTTCTTGTATACTAGCCAAGTCCCGCCACATCAAAGGTGCTCATATCTGAGTACAAAGTCCCCCTCAGGCCGCCATTTAGCAGGTCTGTCTTTGTTTTTCAGGCCTCCGGCGTACTGGCCTAGGTTGACCAGAGAATGTCTGAGTGAAAGAAACTTTCTTGTAGTTTTAGTGATTACATTGAATGGGATGAGAACATGAGTTGAATCAATTACTAGCACTGGTATAATAGTAAAATACTGAATAACTGGGCACTGCATGAGAATGTCTGAATGAAAAAAGCCTTTTTGTAGTGTAAATGAGATGAGTTGAATCAAGCATTGGTATACTGTACTAGTATTTAACTGGGTAGTGCATGGAGAAATACATTATACATGTACATGTAAGAGTAGATACTTGGCTCATGTAATTGGATAACTAATTAAATGATTGGATGGATAAATCAATGCGTAAATAAACAAAGGGATTAATAATGTATGGATGAATGAATAATTAAATGAATATGCATATAGTGAAGAAAAAGCTCCAGCAAATCTCCCCATGCTATTTATTTTCTCATCATAATCCTACAGGTAGTAATGATAGATAAATTCAACAAGTGAACAGAGTAACATAAAATAAGGAGAGGGTTTTATTATGTCGTTTTTACTGTTTGACATTTCCAGGTCACATACTTGTCACCAGAGTCTATATGTTACCTGGGACCTCTGGGGGAATTTGCCAGGTGGCTGGGGACTAAACAACCTGGGATTGCAGCAGTTATGTAAGTGGTGGTATTATAACAGGGAATGAATGGATACTTTTGTTTTATTTCAGACATCCCCTCTCCCCCCCCCCCCCCCCCCCTCACACACACGTGTTGGCCCTTGACTCAAAGAACCAAAACAGATAAGTGGTACAAATTAGCAATGTATTCTTATGTGTAGCAGTATTTAAAACAATATACATGTATTAGCATAACGTTAAATTAAAAGTTGTTCAGTCTAGTTTGAGGTGAAATTTTGATTTAACTGACTGCACGTACGCACACACACACACTGTCACACATACACTGGGAAATAAGTTCATGTGGTGTCAGTGAATATAAAGTCACGATAATGGAAGACAGTCGTTCTAGAAATATATTTTTTCACTGAAAAATAGTTATAAACATTATTAAGCTCTTCTGTTAGGATCTTCAAAAAGAGAATCTTATTTGTTCTTTTAGATTCTACGGGGCCTGGGGTTTTCATATAGGAGAAGCTCTCTATGCAGTTAAAGCATGCAGGTGAGTAAAGGTGCAACTTTGAAATTTTGCTGTAATTTTTTAAAGGTTTGGGTGGAATTGGGGGGTGGGCATTCAGGGAGCCAGGTTTTTTTTCTTTCTTTTTTTTTGGGGGGGGAGGGGGCGATAGAAGAAAAAGGAGAAATAGCTAGCCAATCTTCACTTGGAAAATAATTAATAAGATGGTTAATGAGGACAATTTGTTTTAATATAAAAGATTCAGGGGTGAAAATGTGCTTGCTTTTTGCTCCTTTCACTTCTTGTACCTTTTTTGTGGGAAGGAGAAGGAGAGTAATGTGTACGCCAAAAGTTCAGGCGGGGGGTCACTTGGCCCACTACTATTCCTAAGCCTGCTACTGGTAGAGAAAATGTCAGCCGCTGTGAGAGACTTTGATGTTTGTCACGACTGCAGATTCTTTGCCTCAAGAAAAGAAATCAACTGACTTTATGACTATTAAATGTCTTCTTTGCCCTAGGCTTGTCTCTTCATACTGAGATAACCTCATAGACCATAAAAGTCATTCATTGATATTCCTGTACACAAGATGCTGCACCTCTCACATCTTGAATGTATGTCTTAAAAGACCACTTCGTTTCTGTCAGACGCTTTTTTCTTTTATATTGAGTGAGTAAAGAGACCTGTTGATTAAGAATAAATATAAGCCCATTTTATCTTTCACTGGTTACAGACACCTATCAGGGGAGGATGGAGGTTATTTTCTGGGTCTTCCAGAAGACAGTCATTATCTTTAGTTTACATTGATGGGCATCTAATTTTTTTTCTGTCAGAAGACGATCAAAAATGGAGGCTGGATCAACATAGATAATTTGGATGACTGTCAGAAAATACTGTACATGTATATCTGGATCCATCCCTGCTTATGTATGGAATGAACTCCATTGTAAATGTCCAATTTTAAAATGAGACTTAAATTCCATTTTTATTGGTTGAAATAACAGCTTTGATGAATCAAAATGTTCAATTATATTTTATTTATTTAATTATTTTCAGTGACAGAGGAATTGAAGGGAAGACCAAATGGAAGTGGGTTATACAGACATTTATAATGGGCGTGTTTTCACTAAGTAAACTCATAAGGTACAACCCAAAGGACAGCTGACCTTCTCTGTGATGGATATTTCATTTTTAAATAAATAGCACAAATGCACAATGACTTTGTTGACCAAATGCTTTTTGTACCTCAGGGAAAATTTACTTGTATTTTGATGTGATAAATAAATGTCATGTACAAAACTGTTAATGGAAACGAGAAAGACATTAATTATGGTAAACTTTCTTAAATTTAATTAATTTTTTTTAAATTTTGATTTTTGATTTGATTTTTTTTTTATTTCAACATTTTTTAACCAAGGATAAATGTGGCATTGGAGAGTACTTGGAATATGTGTAATTCACTGATTTTTACAAACAGGTGTAAATTAAAGTTAAGAAGGAAAAAAATTGAAGATTAGAAGAGTGCAGGAGATTTTAAATGTCTGTTGTTCAATACAGATACCCAATAGATTAAATTGTGCATGCATTCTATATCAATAACATTATTAGTGTGTGCATGAATTTTTTATTTCTTATTTATTAACAAATAATAATAAGTAAATAAATAAATGAATAAAGAAGAAAATCCTTAATTGCCTTGAATAGTCAGAATGACCATTGTTAATTAATATATTTTGATTAATAAATTGACAATCATATGCAGACTGTTTTAATACTTTTTATCAATGTTCCACAAAGCAGTAACCTTCCCTTTCAAATTTAACCTCTGTTGTCTATCACATTCAATAAAGAAATTCATATGCATTGTTTTATTTAATATTAAATAATATTACATAATATTATGTATATATTCATTTTAAAACAGCCATTTCATAACTATAAGACTGCGCTCCCGTAAATCCATTGTACTAACTGGATCAATCTAACCCTTCGGGGCTTCTCGCTAATTGTTTGGTCTCCCTTGAGTTACGGGGGGGGGGGGGGGGGGATTTGACTATCATTAAATACGCCCTTGCAGCTTGAGTAGGTTAGCCAGGCATTTAAGCCGCTCACAATAAATGCACTTAAGCGAGAACCCCGCAGAGTTAGATCGTTCCAGCTAGTACGATGCGTTTGTGGGAACGCTCCCTATAAATGTTAGGGGGCCGTAGCGATAGTCCGAAGGTTCAATAGTCCGAAGGTTCATTGGTCCGAATGTTCACTATAGAACCTTCGGACCAATGAACCCTTGATTAAAAAATCGATGAAAATGTAACCACTTTTCGGACCAATGAACCTTCGGACCAATGAACCTTCGGACTATCGAGACGCCCCCAATGTTAGCGCACCTTGATCTTTAATAAAAGAGGCACGAAAGTGAGAACCTCCAACCAGGAAATGACTACATACGCTGATTATTTCGCGCGAATTTTAAGCACTATATCCCATCGAAGGTAACCTTTTCGATTAGTCTTATCAATACTGATTTACATCAAATGAAAAGAAAAAGTAAGTGACATTAAAAACATGACTTTCAACGTGTTTTGGCCTCGAACAGTGAAAGATCGTGTCGCCCTGGCAGTGTTTATGTTGATAGGGGGACCACTGATGTTTTGTTATGAGGTCTTGGTTGTTATTCCTACTTACTACAGCGTGTGGACATTAACAGCGTATATCCATGTGATATTCGGACTGGTATTAGCCGTCAGTATTTACTGGAATGTATATAACGTCAGAAAAAACTTCCCACGGTGTCTTGTGAATGGCGACAGAAGAACTCAAGAGGCCGCCACCTGTCAGGGACACTCCAGCGAATCAAGAAAAGAGCAATTCGAAACGAAGTCAGAAACGGCAGTTACTCTTGACCACTTTCAGGGAAATCAGAGACCATCTTCAGACGCAGCTATAATCAGGAACGCTGGCGGCTTGCAAAATTTGACTGGACATGGGACCGGAACTGAAACAGAAGGGGTATTTTGTTCATTGTGCCAGAATCAGTCCCCACCGAGGTCGTTTCACTGCGAGCTCTGTGACGGCTGTGTTCGACTGCAGGATCACCATTGCTGGTTTGCAGGTATAGTTACAGCATATACATGTAGATGTAGCTCTTACATGTGACTGTAATCAAGAAACATGTATTTAACTAGCTGTAGCCTAATTAATTCTACGTGTTATCCCAAATTTTCCCCGTGAATAATTATATTATAATTTATAAACTATCCAAACTGGACAGTTCGTTAAAATTTGCCAATAACTTTTGAGATATTTTAACCAGTGGAATAAAGAAATAAAGATACAACTAAATATATATAGAAATAAGATGACTAACCAACGCCGATGAAACATCACCTTTAGGCTTTAGTGGAGGTTTGCAAGCTCGGGCATAATACTGAATATTTGGAGTCACATCCAGTCATTAAAAACGTTTACACACATCCCCATAGGGTGGGTTCCATTTTTGATATACATGTATTATTCCCTCTGCGTCTTCTGTGTATTTTCTAGGTTGCTGCATTGGACAACACAACCAGAAACAATACGTCTACATGATGCTATCCTGCTGGCTCCTCGCCTTATACGGGAACGTGCTTAACTTCTCATTTAACGTGTCCACACTTGGACTAAATCACTGGACACCGGTAATCTTAGTGGCGCCACACATAGCCCTCATGTTCGGATACCTCTCCTTTTATGAATTCTTCGTCGCTGGTTTAACAAGTGTTGGTATGTTTCTCTTTGGGCTGTTCACTAGATTGCTGTATGCGCAGGCTGTTCAGATGATCACTGGACAGACGAGGTACGAGCGGAAGAAAGGAATCAAGGTGCAAAGCAGTGGATTTAAAAGGAATGTTGAGGCAGTGTTTGGGAGGAACAGTATTGTTTATGTTATTATCAATAAAATACATTCATTCCTCGGTTACAGAGATGCGAAATTCAGATGATGTCATGTAGAAAATCTAATGTGATATGAAGCAAAGTGAATGAACTTTAGAACGTTAATTATCTCACTGAGAAAAATTGGTTACATATTTCAACAATTCTTCTGCTGGTACATCATATACGTGAATCAAGTGACAAAAGATTTTTAATTATAAATCGTGCATGTTGGAAGATGGGAAACGTAAAAAAAAAGTTTTTTGCTTGCTTGGCAAGGACAGTGTTTTAATATCATTACAAAATAAATTATTCTGTAAAATTCAGCAAGTATTCCTCTGTCACCAAAGTATAGCTAGTCAAAAGTAAGGGGAAATATAGGGTATAAACTCCCGTCTCATTTACAGACCGTAGCCAGAGAATTTTGGTTGGTTCGAATGAGCCGCCCTTTTGGCAGTGAAAATCCCTAACCAAAGAAGGACCATATCTCGCCTTTACTACCGTGTACAGTGCTTAGGTCAAAGAAGTCCGTGTAATATAGCCATACGAAATTTCCTGTGATTTTTTTATTGATCTGTGTAGATCCTTCTTCAGATGTGCAAAATAAATAAATAAATAAATAAACGGATTACACAATCCAAGTACATATGTGTTCAATAAAAAATATAACCGAAATATGTTAATATTCACATTTCCCTGACCTTTTCACATACTGTATGTTCAAAACGTTCATTTTTCCTTCACAAAATGACTCAAATACAAATGACAAATGACAAAAGTAAGCTTACAAACCTTTATTACGAGGTCATTTTGATTACTTTACATTCCAAGAACATGTAGCTATAAAAATCTACACGACAATGTTGAGCTGGTGCATGTGTGTTTGACGGCACAATGATAAATATAAATGACTTTCTTTCTGTCTTAATTTCTAGGCGAAAGATTAAGTATACTTTAGCCCGAGATATTGAATGGAATATTTATTATACTTGTTTTAAAACTCGTTTTAAAATATTTTTATTTAAGGCTAAAACCTCATAGAAATAGTTACGTTATTCAAATGGGCTCCTGTAGCTCTATCTTAACCTGAAGATGGCTACTTTGACAAATTTTCTGGCTGAAGATCTTTTTCAACAGACGCGGAAGAACATGTTGAAGGTTCTGTTGTAAGACGATTCGATACCTCATTTATGTATAGGGGCTGTAATGACCCTGAAAATTAGGAGCATGCATATGCTGGTAGTAAGACCGATAGTCAGTTTTCAGGGACCTTCGAATCTCAAGATGACTGAGAAGCACTATGAAGTTTTTTCTGTCTGTACATCCAGCCAATGAAAGTGGCATCTGGCTAAAAATTAACAGGGCGGATCTTCATCTCGGTTGTCTTCAAGGAGTGATAATAACCCCTGAATGTTTTCCAGTTGACCCCGTCAGCGAATGACGTGTGGTCACCAAGGTGATACAGGCCGTTCAAGTTCGAAAGGTGACAGCTGCCATACCACCACGCCCCCTTGAAAGTAATCGCACAATTACCGCCATTGCTGCCATGATCTTTCGTAGTGAACTCCATTCCATTGTGAAGCAGTGCTAGTGAATCACCTGAAAAAAAATAGTTGGTTACATGCAATATACCTTTTCTGGTGGAAAACATCCCAAAAAGCCCAAAATCGCGCGGCTAAGACCAAAATGATTTGAGATTTCTCGGGATTTAGCAGAGAGTGGGATCAGAAATAATGGCAGACTCTTTACATGTATATATACTGTGTATTGGTATCCGATATGTAATAAATAGGTATCCTTGGGTATTCAAAGATGACTGTCAATGAAGATAATGATACATTCAATGATTGGACATGGGTCTGTTACAAAATTAAGTCGATTTTAGGTTGCTTAAAATGTTTTTCACAGCCTTACTGCCCGTTGGCATCTATCAGTAAATTGAGTAAATCATAGCTGGCTTCCATTTGCCATAAGGATTCTATCTATATCGCAGTAATTTTCACATCCTTTTTGACTTTATGATATGTATTTGGTGCTGAACAAGTGCGTACAAGTAATTTGACAAAATTGTTGGTGACTGTTATTATGACTGAAAACACAATGTCATCGTTTGTCTTAAAATATCCATTGCTGAAGTACATGTACGAGTGAAAGACTGCAAGTTCAATAAACTGCACATTTGAAGGGGTAATTCATTTTATGAACAGTGATGATCGATGGTATTTAAGTGTAAGCATAACTCTAACACGCTGTCTTTCATTTATAAAAAATGTTATGGCACATTTTCTTTTCAGTAAATATTTTAAAATATATTTCAAACAAATACGCGACCATGATATTGTGTCAAATTCAATTACCCGCGGTCCCAGAATATGTTCCAACAGTCAACTGATAGTTGGCCGACTCTGATGAGATGGCAAAGTTGTCATAGTGAGCGTACGCCCAGATACCATCCGCGTCCTCCATATCCACACGCAGCTCATAGCTGTCTTGTTCAGTCAGGAGGTGGATCTTGTCGTTACCTGTTAATTAATATTTTTTGGAAGATATAAATGTTACACAATTTTGCCTTAAACTTATTAAAATACTGGATGGGAGTTAAATGTAGCATACAAATAAATAATTAATGAACAAGTATATTAGTAAGCTTAAATACGTGAAAACCAAAATCTTAAAGACAGAAGCAGATGCAATAATGACCAGATTTAAGAATAATAATAAATGAGATTTTTTCTTTGATTTCCATAATTAGTAACGTCTTGCAGGCTCAAATACTTGCACCAGCGATTCATATGTGCGAGAACATCAGTAGATAAACCAGAAAAACATTCATTCTCTTTTTTATATCTGCCATAATCCCGTTGAATAAAGCTCTTTTTATTACAGAAAAACAAGTAACATTTTCGCCTTGAGGACTCACTGTTACAATAACCATACCTAGCCAGTGTTCTGAACTTAAATTTCCAAACCCGTCTTTGTATGAGGTCCAATTTCTATAGAAGTCAACAGAGCCGTCCATGCGCTTCTGAAACAACTTGAAACGAAAAAAAAAATTTGAAGCATATTCATCAACGTAAACCGTCTTTTAAAAACTACATACGGAAGTGATTCAGTAAGTCTGTAAGAATGAAAACAATATGAAAACAAAATGAAAATTAGAATCAGCTAGCTTTAATCCATGGTTGATTTTTTACTTATTTATGTAAATGTTCCTCCTATCTAAAATTTGCAGATATTAATATCAAAACTGACCGTCCATCCTCCTCCATCAGTGTCCATGTCACAGTACACATCAAAGGAAGTAGGACTGTTCACAGGAATAATGCTGTAGATCCCACTGGTATTTACGCCATTGTTATACAGATCTGCGCAGTCCTTCCTCTCTAATAAGTCAAGGTAAATGTTACTAAGAGAAAGTTGATGAAATCAATGGCGTCTCATTCATTTTATTGCAATGTAAATACCCTTGGTTAATGTCCTTTGCGCTCCACAGTGATCACAATTTGAACTACGCTATTTCTTATCGACCTTTAAAATAATTCGCACTCACTTGTAAAGACTTACTGATAGATAATTGTTGAATCTTCACACTCAACACAGAATGGTAATATTCCGAGTTTGCAGAAGATCGAAATCACACTCGACTATATACGCACATATTTGTATGTTATGCTTTATTGCTTATACCGGGACATATGTTTATTATCTTGATCATGTCCAATGCAGATGTTTGTCCTGTCGCAAATTACAAGTTTATGGGACGTACTGCATTACTTTACGACTATACATGTTTGTGCTCGTTGTTTCACCATTCTGTCCTGAAAACGTGAAGTCTGAGTACAAATCAACCTCAATCGCAAACAGCAGGAAAATGACCAATCATTCAATTTGTTCAATGCACTTACCATAATTTGTGAAGTTAAACGAGGCTGTAACTGTAGCATTATTGACTCCAAGTGGCCTTGAATTCATCGCCGTCAGCCGCATGGTATAGGCAACACCCATAGGGAGATTAGACAAAACTGACGTCACATTATTGCGGTGACCTGGGTCGCCCATGGTCAGCTTGGTGACGTAGGTGTTGTCGTCAGCACCAAACTGTTTCACATCTAGAGTAAAGGTTTGGTCAAAGCCGCCATTATCACCTGCTGCCCAAGTGACCACCGCAGTGTTTGCTACAGTTGTGTTCAACGATGATATCACTGGTGGTTGTGGCGGTCCTAGAAATTAATCAATGAATTATGTAAATACGCAGTGTTTTAAGCACCATGCGCACGCCACACATATTAAAAGTAATAAAAATGATATGAAGTGAAAAGATGTTGAAACAAGTTTTTTAATTGCTATGCAAAATCTAGGCGTATCTTGGTCGTCTAGCATATAGCCACATTCCTGGCACTAGCTCTCCTATCTTCATCCTTTATCCAGCCTTGTCTTTAAAAATTTCCCGAAATGCAATCGACATATTTTATGATAAATTTCATGGATCATCTAGGCATGCATTTGTTCAAATAAGTAAATAAATAGCAATAACAATAAATATATAAAATATTAAAAACACACTGACCAATTCCAGAGTTAAGGTACACCCAGCCACTGTCAGCTACTGTCATTGTATCAGCGCCATCGTAGGTCGTCTTGTCATTTATTTCACACGTCTTATTTTCCAGGTGATAGTTGACAGATACACAGGTGGCAGACCCGAGGCGGAGGCACCTCACAGTACAGGCAATCTTAGAGCTAGCATATGAAGCCAAATATTGTTTGCCGCCAAAGACACCATTTACCAATCTGTGTCCTGCCTGTGCCGCGAAGTTGCCTTGTCTTAACCCAACACCCACTGCTGAATCAGCAATATTACAGCTTATAAGTAACAGCTGAAGCAGCTTTGCCATGAGTTTCATGGAATCTTCTTAAGCGCGCTTTGTCGCCGTCTGACACACTGGCTAAATCTTCCACCTTTTCTTTGTACAAAACAGCAAATTCCTCCGAGCGCCTATTCGATTAACTTCACTTGATTAATGTGAAATCTAGAACTGAATTATTGTAAATAGTAAAAACTGTTAACACACTGTTTTGTATTGTGTTCAATTGGCTTATCTAATCCATATTTACATCTGTTCAATCTAATCCCTGGTACAGAACTTGGCGTCTTTGTCCATCAAAGATATTGCACTACACCATCGACCACGTTTGCCTTTAATTAAGGAGACCAAATGACCCAATGAATGGTTAGTAGATCAACGCTAGTCTTCTGAAACGATTTGTCAAGAACGTCAAACCGCGGCCGTCTGCAGGGTAAGTTATTTTCCTGTGTCCCAAATGTTGGCTTGGAGATGTTGTTCGCTTCAGAAACTTGGCCCAATACACTTAATTGGAGGACATCCGGATCAATCCGTTAGTTTACGGAGAATTGAACAATTTACATGAATGACATCATCAACCATATTGTCAGTTATGGCTGACCGCTTCTGTTCGTGTGCTTCTAGGGCCGGATTTATGTATAAACAGCCTAAGCACGTGTTTAGGGCGCCACACCTAAAGAGGCACGGATAAGCTAGAGAAAAATACTATGTATAAAATGTAAGTATACAGAGGACACTTAAAGAGGAGAGGAATCGCACCAAGTTACGGGCTCTGAATACCTGGTCTTGAATAACTCTACATCTGCCTGATTTACACTAAGTCTGCTTCTTCCTGTTTCAGTAATATACAATGCACATCTTGTCGCATCTAGGGCAACTGAACTGTTAGACAATTATCAATGCCGTTGATGGTTTGTCGCCCCGGAGCGTCATCAAAATTGCTGGTCCGGTCTCATTATTGACCGCTGATCAGCAACGTCCACCATGTATGTACCAATAATGGCCAAGACATGCTGAGAGTACATTACTCGGGTGAGTTTTAAGGAATCTTTAATACTCAGGATGACTGACAGACACTATCGTTAATTTTAACTTAAAAGTTAATAGAATCCGACTAAAAGTTAATAGGGCGGATTTTCATCACGGTTGTTTTCAAAGAGTGATGATAGCCCCTGAACGTATACCAGTTGACCCCGTCAGCGTATGACGTGTGGTTACCATGGTGATACAGGCCGTTCAAGTTCGATGAGTGACAATTTTGATACCACCACGCTCCCTTGTATGTTTTTGCGCACTGTCCGTTATTTGGACCTTGGTCTTTTGTAGTAAAAACTTGACCATTGTGCCTTGAAAATGAATCCCCTGAAAATAAATATATCAGTTCCACAATTGCATTCAAACTATCATATACGTTTAAAACCAAAGCACGCTGGTATACACTTACCTCAACGTGCATGCATGGGGCCACACGTTTATAGCACGCTAATTATTTAGTATGGTAAATAATGTTATTATGCTAAGCTTTGGATAATCCAGCTCCTACATTCATGTGTATTTTTTTTTCGGTTTTCGACGAAACGTTCCGTTCTTCGAAATGGGTATATTTAAAGGTTGGCAATTACAGTTTTTATCTTCTATTAGTTTTTGATAGATATAAAGCTTTATGTCTAATTCGTGCGTTGAAATGTACTTTTTTAGATCAAAGTAAATATGAACTGCCATAGCAATATATATTGCCTGATGCATTTACTTACAATAAAACTACATGTACTTAATCTTGTTGATAATATAACACAGCTCAGAGCACACTACCTGCGGTTCCAGAATATGTCCCAACAGTCAACTGATAGTTGGCCGCCTCTGAGGAGAGAGCAAAATGGTCGTAGTGTGCGTACGCCCAAACACCGTCCGCGTCCTCCATATCCACACGCAGCTCATAGCTGGCTTGTTCAGTCAGGAGGTGGATCTTGTCGTTACCTGTAAATAAGTATTTTAAGGAATATCTGAACAATTTTGCCTCGTTTATTAAAATCTGTAAAGCAGAGAAAGTACACACACTGTACAATGGAAGTGATACCCCTACTGAACCAGTACTTTGGGGGAGGATAAATGACTGTGGAATGATATGCTCCTGGTATTATTTTATTAACATCAAATTTCACAAAAGAAACGGTTCTGACTGAACAATTAAACTGTATCGATATTCTGACATTGTTTATATTCCGCCTCTTCAGGTTAATAACTTTGATTACTCTGATTTAGAGAGATGACTATTCTATTGTCCAGTGTGTGTACATGAGAAGGCTTTGACAACGTTTAGGAAGGGGTAAAGCTAGAGGATAGCGTAAAGCAACTAGATTACCATTCTAGAATAGTCTAAAAACGTTTTATATGTCATCCAGTATATTGTCATGTCATACTTTTTAGGAGCATTAACACAATTTGGCCTTGTTTTATAAAGGTAAGTGAAGTGCCTTTACAAGCTTGAAGTTTACGTTCACAAAACTTAATGCATATGAACTACAGTTTACAATACAAAATTAATAAATGTTCCTCTAACAGATTAGTACACTTACGATCTTAATTAAGTTATGCTTTTGTGTTTGCATGCAAGTGCATGTTTATATGCCAACGATTGATTTGTAGGTGAACATTGTAACTATATATAAATGACTCAGTTTTCATTTTTCTTATTTTTTTTCCATTTACTGTCGTAATTGTTAAATTAACTGTAATTCATTTTTATTGGTGCTCCTAACAGTTCCTTTACATGTACCTAACCAATGCTCCCCGTTCAAATCTCCAAAGCCGTCTTTGTATGAAGTCCAATTACGGTAGAAATCAACAGAACCGTCCATACGCTTCTGAAACAACTAGAATGGAAAAAAAAGTCAAACATCAAAATAAAACAATACTCACAAAATAGCTTCATGGTTAATAAAGGTGGCTTTTAACATGATATCTTTGACTTTCTTTATTTAATTATTTTTGTATTTCGAACAGTGATAAATAAAGCACAAATGCTTAAATAAGCCTCAATAAAATCAATTAGTGGTAACTGAAACTCCAAATACAGTTCATTATTATGAATAAAATACTTTTTTTAATAGTACATAAAACCCGAAACATTTTTACAAAAAACCGGTAAATAGCTTTTAAAACAATGGGTATGCTGACGTATTTGTTCTAAATAACTTGAATTTGGAGAAATCATTAAGAGGTTAACTTCTTGAGCGAGTAAAATTTCATTTACGCGTAGTTATCAAGTTTTTGCCTCATCTTTTGCAGAAAGTGATATCAGTACTGACCGTCCATCCTCCTCCATCAGTGACCATATCACAGTACGCGTCAAAGAAATCAGAGCTGTTCACAGGAATAATACTGTAGACTCCACTTGTACTCACGCCATTGTTATACAGATCTGCGCAGTCCCTTCTCTCTACTAATTCAAAGAAAATCGTTTATATCTTTTGAAGGGGTATTCACAAGATCAATCTTGTTTCAGTAATTTAATGGCAAAGCAAATATCAAAATATACACGGTTTATGGTCTAAAAGCCTGACCATCATCTTACCTACATAATAGCATATTGACCGATAAATTACATGAACTTCGCAACAACGCTCACGTATGTTTATCAGTTGGGTGCGATGTGCCAATTAATGATACTCAAAATAAATAACTTTCTGAGCTTGCTGATTGGAGACATTACAGAAAATGCAATCACTTCTAATATACAATCTTGATCAACTCTGAAAGCCCGATGCAGCTCCAAACCCACGTGTTTTGTTTACAAATTATCACACTTACTCTGCCAAGCCTTTAAGATGTATTCTAATTCCAGATACCATATCTTATATGACTAATGGTAAATACCAGATGCTGCGCATACCGCATTACTTTTAACTATATTTTATATGTGTTGTTGTGGCATCATGTATTGTAATTGAAACCAGCATTCATCAGTCAAATAAACATTAAAGTAACAAAGCGCTGTTCAATTCATTTATCTGATCACTTACCATTTGTAAAGTTAAACGAGGCGGTTACAGTGGCATTATTGACCCCTAATGGCCTTGTATTCGTCGCCGTCAGTCGCACGGTATAGGGGACACCCATATACAGATTTGACACGAGTGACGTCACATTATTGCTGTGACCAGGGTCGGCCATGGTCAGCTTGGTGACGTAGGTGTTGTCGTCACTACCAAACTCTTTAATATCTAGAGTAAAGGTTTGGTCAAAGCCGCCGTCATCGCCTGCTGCCCAAGTGACCACCGCAGTGTTTGCTATACTTGTGTTTAACGACGAGATCACTGGTGGTTGTGGAGGGCCTAGAAATACATGAACACTGGACCACTATTCTGACATCTTTAAAATAGGCTCATTGCTGTGATGTCGAAAATTTGGACTGAGCTTTGTTGGACTTTTCTCAATTATTTTTGCAGACACTCTGCTAGTTTTGCGGATAAATTTGCCTTCAACGTGAACATTTGTACAACAATTCATTGGACTAAAGGTATACGCATATACATGGTGAGCACAACGCCCCTTACTTGTATAGTAATAGTAAAATCAATTAATTATTTAGTAACAACTAGCAAAGCACTAACGTACTAGCTAACGGGATTGAAAACAATCTCCTGGTCGGGGGTGATAATAATAATAATAATAATAATAATAATAATAATAATAATAATAAATTATATAATAGACATTTATATTTATAATATATATTTTTATAAAATAAATATTATTATTATTATTATTATTATTATTATTATTATTATTATAAATATTTTAAGTATTATTATTTTACGATTAAAAATACACTAACCAATTCCAGAGTTAAGGTACACCCAGCCACTGTCAGCTACTGTCATTGTATCAGCGCCATCGTAGATCGTCTTGTCATTTATTTCACACGTCTTATTTTCCAGGTGATAGTTGACAGATACACAGGTGGCAGACCCGAGGTGGAGGCACCTCACAGTACAGGCAATCTTAGAGCTCACACGCCAAGTCACATACTGCGTGCCACCGAAGACGCCATTTATCAATCGCTGTCCTGTTTGTGCTTTGAAGTTGCGTTGTCTTAACCCAACAATTTCTGCTGAATTAGCAATATTACAGCTTAGAAGTAACAGCTGGAGCAACTTTTCCATGATATGAGTTTCACTGAATCTTCTAACAACGTTTTCTCCGCTTTTGCTAAATGAACTTTATGCTTTAACTTTCCATAAACACTGCTGTTCGAAAAAAAATTGCCTTTAACCACAGAACGTTACGCAGGAATGCTTTTTTTCAATCACCTTTCCCCCAGCTGCTTTAATTAATCGAAACTCAAGATTTAAATAAGAGTAACACATAATGCATGGGATATAATGTATTTGGATTTTCTAAACTAATCAATATCTACTTAATTTCCCTTAGCAAAGAACACTTAAACTTCGTAAAGAAAAGCCCTTGTATTTCGCCGTCGATCATGTTGACCTTTTATGTTATGTAGGAACAGTAAAATTGTAATTATTGAACTGATGATGGCAATGGTCAGTTAATCAATTTAAGTTCATTGAAAAAGAGACGAATATTCAAGAACGGCGGCTGAAAGTAAATATCCGTAAAAATATGCTGGTAAAGTGAATGATACATGTCGTAGATTAAATATCACTGAATGATACATGTCGTAAATTAAATATCACTGAATTATACATGTCGTAAATTAAATATCACTGAGTGATACGTGCAACTGCTTAAAGGGATGACAACTGTTCATTTTGGCCAAACATTAATTTTCCTGGGGTAAACAATTTACTATAGGGGTGGGTTCATTTCAATTCCACGCGAGCTTCGGGTATAAAAGCAATAAGACCAATCAATATTGATCAGACCCTTGTTTTTTTTTTCCCTCAATACATAGTCAACTTCCATATGGACATTTTTTGTTATTCGCTTTCTGTTCAGCAGCGAATGTAATCAAACGGGTTTCTCAGATTAAATTTTGGATCGACATGAACGCAGTTTTGTTTTAAAAGCTTTGTTTTTACTATTTAGTGTTTTCTTTATTACACGTAAAATGCTACTTTTTCATTTACTTCCGAAGATTTGAAAAATACCTTTATTTCTGGTCTTCAACCACTTAAGCCCTTACTGTTAACTTCAAAAAAATCCTGCTGTCTTGGTTCTCCTTTCTATCCCTTGCCAGCCATAATGGCTCAGTAACTTGAACTTCAGTTTAAAAAAGTGGGGGGGGGGATAAAAAGGAAAAAATATGAAAAGAAAGAGAATGAAATTTCTGTGTCAACATGAATCAATCATTATTGTTTCAAAGGTACTGACCATACAAAAATTAATTCTATGCTCTACTAGTAGGGGAGACCGGGGCTTGTTGGACCCCGGGGTAAGTTGGCCCCCCGTCAATTTATGAAAAAGTAACTGCGAGGTAAAAAAAAAATTGGCCACATACTCTTGCAAAGTGACCGTAGCCTACAATGCTAAGGAAGTGTCGGACGTTAAAAAGTTTTACTTAAGCGGTGAGTCGAAATAAACGATTTTTGCACCTTAAAGTAATTTTGTTTTAGAGATTTAAAAATNGCCCTTACCGTCTAGGAGGAGAAGCGGTAACGGTAGCCGTCCGGCGGAGCCGGCGGAGCCGGCGGAACGATCCGGACGGGACTAAAACCATGTGTACCGCCAGCGCTAACGCTACAATGAATCATGTGCAGATAGCAAAAGTATCACTACACTGGTAAATTAATTTTTATGGAGTCGTTGGCATGTACAACCTCATCTCAATTTTCCTTATCTCATTCTCACTTTTAAGTTAAAACAGCTTAATCGCTGCTAAATCCCCGATCTCGCGAACTCTCTCACGCCGATTTCTTCGATTTACTATAAAACAAGGCGACTTCCTGGTAAATAAATCAGTTTCGGATATCGAAACAAAGCTGCTCTGTGCCGTTACAGTTACTTTTCTTTGATAACTCATGTCGAGAATGCATGTACATGTATATATGTATATACCTATCCATTTGTTTTATTTATTTACTTATCTAATTTTGTGGAGAGCATATAATGCTTCCAGCGCCTTGCCTCCACTTCATTCTTTTGAATAAACGTTGTTTAAAAAAATGTATATACTGCACAGGTAAACTTGTATATCCAGGTACAGTGCTTGATCCAGATACAACTGGGTGATTGCTTCCAAACCCACAACTGTTCTCCTCTGTTGATGAACCTATAAGTTAAAGGGAAGGGGATAGTTACACAAGAGCACACGAGCTGATTGCGTCTTTTGTCCCCAAGGGTCTATACTTTAATTTTGCACACTATTTGAGGGGAAATACATGTAAATACCGGGTTTATATGGGATCATCAAGAACTACCTACGGGGGCCGAATTTTTTATTATGTGGCCATTTTCTCTGAGCGGAATATAACCGTTAATTTAACCAGAGACATGGCTGTGAATATTTAGTGAAAAATCAATCTGTGGCCCTTGTAGAGTGTAAACAGTAATAGGCAAGAAATTCAGGCAGATTTTTTAATCCGCCTAGGCGAGATTTCCAATGTACTCATATTGTGACCAGCTTCAGCTTCTCTAGATCTGTATTACGCTCAATGCCAGGAGGTAGGATGTTAATCAGTTTTTCTGACTGCATTCAGCAAGAGTCCCTGTGGAAAAAGTACTCTTTGGCTAGGTGACATAACTCACTGTGAACTGGCTGTGCCACTGAAGAATACTTTGAGAGTTAATTTTAAATGTGGTGACAACAACGTGGAGTATTTGTCCTTTTTTAGGCTTGTAACTTTTAAAAGGTCCAGAAGGCTTTAAAGGGCTTTTATTCGCCTGTTGTTAGCAACAAAAATAGAACTTTAATAACATATTGCAACCTTAAAACTTAATAACTTTATACATTTTGTCCGAATAGCAATCCAATTTCTTTTTATTGTGAAAATTTAATTTAAATATTAATTGCTGAATATGCTTTTATTTTTAAGTCGGTGGTCCAATATTTGTGTCAGTGTGAGGATTCAGATAACATAAAGCTAGCCGAACATTACAATATATACTTGAGAAGATAAATTAAAGGTTGTTACAAGGGATGCATTACAGTTGGTCACGGCTTCATCTGATTCTTGGCACCTACTTCTGAGAGCTACTACAGATTGTGTCTGTTTTGCCGTGNTTTTTTTTTCTTTTTTTTCACTAGGGAGAGGATAGGTAAAATCTTTTATTAGGTTTGTGGTTATTGCACTTCAACCGCACGAAGGCTTAATTTTCAGGACATGCATTTGTCTGAATAAAGTATGGCTTTTTGGGGGTTTCCGTTTGAACGATTAAATCCAGCAGTAAAAATGTCTCAATTCAATAATTGGCTTTTATTCAAAGGAGGAACACCTAAAATGATCAATGATGCAGTGGTTGGATTTTCTTGTCACAACTGTTGTGCGCTGTTCGGGGGGAAATGACTAATGTTTGAATTATAACAATTACATGAAGCAACCGGTATCCGACTTGATATTTTATTATGGTCTAAAATTTAAGCTCAAAGCAGTACCTTAATCAAAGAAAGGGGAAAGTCTTCATCGAAGAAATGGGAAGGCGCTTTACCTAAAGGCTGAAAAAGAAAAAACACATTTTCGTGAAAAGAAAAATGATTTGCAGCGTTTAAAAAAGAAAAGTTTTTCTCTAAAGGCGTGCTTCAGACTATCAATGGAGCTACATGCACAGTTACCGTTGCTCCATGTGTTGTTTATGCTTTGTCGCATCGCTAATATAGCATCAGGTGTCGAGTTTAGACAAGGCAACTTAGGGGTACAGACAGGACGGCGATTGGTAAATGGCGTCTTCGGTGGTACACAGCGTTTGGCTTCCTGTGCAAGTTCAATGATTGAATGCTCTGTGAGGTGTCTCCGCCTCGGATCTGAGACCTGTGTATCTGTCAACTATCACGAGGAAAATAAGACGTGTGAAATAAATGATAAGACGATCTACGATGACGCTGATACAATGACAGTAGCTGACAGTGGCTGGGTGTTCCTCAACTCTGGCATTGGTTAGTGTTCTTATTTAAATGTAATTGTCATTGTTTGAACAGAATGCATGTTTTTTTCTCATTTATAAGATGCCTCCCCTTTAATCACCAAAACAAAAAAATTAACGGGTATTTCATTAAGATTTGTATAGAAATTAAAAGTACCTGTACATCCCTCACATACTGCCATTTTACACGCAAATCCAATGTGTTCGAAAATTATTTTTTAGAAAATTAAACCTTACATAAATTTTAGCTGCCAGATGACGATGTATGTTTTGTGACAGGACCCCTTTCGTCAAAGTGTCCAAAAACAAAGACGCTGCATCTTACTATTTCTAGCCTCCCCACAACCACCAGTGATATCATCGTTGAACACAACTGTAGCAAACATTGCCGTGGTCACTTGGGCAGCAGGCGATGATGGCGGCTTTGACCAAACCTTTACTCTAGATGTTAAAGAGTTTGGTGCTGACGACAGCACATACGTCACCAAGCTGACCATGGCCGACCCAGGTCACCGCAATGATGTGACGTCAGTTATATGGAACCTGAATACAGGCACTATGTATACCATGCGGTTGACGGCGACAAACACGAGACCTATTGGAGCCAATAACGCCAGTGTCTCGCTTAACTTTGCAATCAGTAAGTGTATCGGAAAGGGAATTAAATGGGTTTTTCACTCCTTTTTTATGATATTCTCATCTAGCCTTCTATCTTGATACCTGTGATATACTGAACGGCAATATAATACATATTTAGGTCCTGTAGGATTATAGTCAAAACAGTAATTCAATTGCTATGCTGCACGACCGGTGTTTTTGTGAGAAAACAAGCATACACAAACCTATTGAAAATGTAAACATATTTAAATTGTGGCCTTGGAAATAATACAAAAGAGCTTGTTAGTACTTCAATAAACAGTTACGGTATCGATTTAACCTTTTGAACATATCATATAACCCAGATGCCTGTTTGTATGGGGTTTTGAATGATTTTTCCTATAAGTATGTGGTAACCACGGTCAGGTTTCTGACTTGCATTTACAACGCGCATTTTAGCATATTTGCATTAAAATTACATAGGCAAGAAGAGGTTTGTTAACTTGCTCTAAATATCGTTCACCTTGACTTACTAGAGAGAAAAGACTGCGCAGATCTGTATAACAATGGCGTAAATACCAGTGGGATCTACAGCATTATTCCTGTGAACAGCCCTGATTTCTTTGACGTGTACTGTGATATGGTCACTGATGGAGGAGGATGGACGGTCAGTTCTGATATCAATATCTGTTCAATTTAGAAATGACCAAAACTTTCTTCATAAATTGTATAGAAATCTTGATTTAAATGGACATGTAGTCTTAACTGTCTTATACATATCTGAACTGAAGTTTTTTAAAACATTTTATTTCATAGCCAACATGTACACTAACAAAAGACCTCTGATAAAATACGTTGTACTTTAAAACTCTGTCTTTGTAACTTACTGTATGTTCAATATTGTCATTTTACTCGATTCCATCCATTTTGTTTTCATATTCAGTTGTTTCAGAAGCGCATGGACGGCTCTGTTGACTTCTATAGTAATTGGACTGCGTACAAAAACGGCTTTGGAAATCTAAGTGGAGAACTTTGGTTAGGTATATAAACCGTAATAAAAAGCCAATACTAACAATATGTACTGTTACGAAAAGTCCCAGAAGAAAAAAAGCTTGTCTACAAATGTATACATACAAGTCAACCGTTAGAAGTTGGGCCTGCAATTACTTTATTCATATGAATACACTCCAATGCCACTTCTTATCCGTTTGCTTAAAACAAACAGGCGGTTACTTCGTCTTCTTTAAATTTTGTGATACCTTGAAAAAACTAAAAACACTACAGCTGGAAGGAAGCAAGATAAATGTGTAAAAGCTCATAAAATATTTATTTACAGGTAACGACAAGATCCATCTCCTGACTGAACAAGACAGCTATGAGCTGCGTGTGGATATGGAGGACGCGGACGGTATCTGGGCGTACGCACACTACGGCCATTTTGCTGTCTCATCAGAGTCGGCCAACTATCGATTAACTGTTGGAACATATTCTGGAACTGCAGGTAGTGTTATCTTGACACCATGTACTACATATATAATTACAAATGTCACACAAACAAACTGGCAGCTCGCCTGTAATTACTTGGCCAATTAACGTGCTTATTATGCCGTTTACAATACCAATTGGGATGTGGTCTGGGCCACGTCCTAATTAGGATGTGGTCTGGGTCACCTAGGAAGAGTACTGGATTGGAATATGGCCTGTGACATATATACAAATATATATGATCGACCCCACTTGAAAGCGATGCGACATAATCCCCTAATGGTCTCCCCACCTCCCACATGCACCATGCCTACAGAGGTCAAGCAATTTTAATTTCGGAGCCGAGATTGAATTCGCTTTATCGCTAGGCTCTTGCAGGCATGGTGCGTGTGGGAGGCGCGGAGACCATAAGGGAGGTTATCCCGCATCGCTTTCAAATGGGGTTGGTCATATTTGATTCACAGACCAGTTAGTCCGTGGATAATCTGTTCTGAATGCGGCCTCACACTATTTCAGGTGATTCGCTCAGGCGTCAGAACGGTTGTGCTTTCAGTACGTATGACAGAGATCATGACACCTGGGACAACGGTAGCTGTGCTCGAAAATACAAGGGGGCGTGGTGGTATCAAAACTGTCACCATTCGAACTTGAACGGCCTGTATCACCTTGGTAACCACACGTCATTCGCTGACGGGGTCAACTGGCACCACTTCAGAGGGCGTAACTATTCTTTGAAAACAACGGAAATGAAAATCCGTCCTGGTCACTTTTAGGCGGGATCTAAATCCAGAGTAGGAATCTATTTTGGTTCCTAGGAACGGGGTATTTTAATTATTTTTAGATAAGATTATTCGAGTTGATGAAATATGATATGGAGCCCAGTATCGTATTAATTGACTTTTTTTGCATTTCTTCAATGATACCTGTGTAGTTTTATGTACATAATAACTGAAATGGATAATGCATGGTCGACCAAATTAGATTATTCTTTTTAAATTCGTATTTTTCACGATTAGTTTTTTTTTTTTTTTTTTTACCTTCACCTACTTTGGTCTTGGTCACAACTGATTATTCTAATGGTTTCAAGTGTGAAAGGAAAAAAGACAATTTATAGGTCTTGATGATCTAAAGTCAGGAAATTATGTTGTCCTAGTTCTACTCGAGCATTATCCTCGATGTTGATAAGGACCCCCCCTTCCACCCCGACCCCCACCCACACCCCCTGGGACAGCTTACATTCTGTTCATTCTGACTGTTGTGGGCACCGGAATCCTACAATGACAGCTTAAATATAACTATAATGTAACTGTGTAGATTTAATTGTACAGGTAAATATTCTTTTGTGAAATTTCAGAATTGTCAAATAACTTGTTGAAACCTAATTCCACATTTTTTAAACTTCGATATTTATTTTGATGATCTAATAATGAACTGTTCTATTGAGAATATTATGGTATTTTAATTATGTTTGAAAAACACCTTAGAGAGCATTCACATCGAGAAGAGCCGAGGTCTAGCAAGGCCGAGACCTAAAAAGGCCGAACCTACATGAAAGGAAGGCTGCGTAATCCTTAAATAGTCTCTCAATGAATGTCACCAACATGAAAGGGAGACCGCGTAATCCTTAATGTCTTCTCAATGACATTCATTGACATTCATTGAGAGTCCATTAAAGGATTACACGGTCTTCCTTTCATGTAGGTCCGCCATATTTAGGTCTCGGCCTTGCTAGATCTCGGCTCTTCTCTACGTGAATACTCTCTTAGTGTTTTGAGCATACCCCCTAAAAAAAAAAAAAAAAAAAAAAAGAGAGAAAGAAAAAAAGAAAAAAAAAAGAAAAAATCCTCTGAATAATAATTGTGTTATTATGATTTCAAAAATGAACTTATTTGATCCACTAGTGCTGAACATTGTGTGCAAAGATTTAATTCTGTATTGCTCTAATGATGTCATTCTTTGCACTTTTTGTAATATTTTATACCACCGCTTTAACTCTATTCGTGTTTTTAATGGATATGCATAATAAAAAAAACAAAAAAAATATACGCGTTATGGTTTGTAGTTTACTTTATATATTAAAAATACATACACTAAACAATTAGTATTGTAAAAATATCATAAATTGCAGAATAAAATGACATCAGTAAGACACGACCAAATCAAATAAGTAGATTTCTCGATGTGAAAAGTATCTGCAATTGCAGAAACCAATCCATCTTTGCGCCCGTGGATCGTTTGAGCTCATCTAAAGTCTCGGTCACAACCGGCCGCACGGGCTCTTACGGGCTGTTTGCGTCCAAATTTTGCGCAAAATCTCACGTCCCACGCAAGTCCTTCTTACGAATTTCGAATTCGCAGACTGCCCGTAAGCACGTAAGGAGGATGTTGGACATGTTCAAAAGATTCTACGAATAGCCTGCGAACAGCGAGACCGCAAGCGTAACTTGCTCCCCTCTCACGGAGTTAGCAAGAGAGACGCGCGTTGTGCAAGACGCACGTTGCAAGCAATAAAGGAGCAAGTGCCCTTTGCGTGTTGAGTAAAGCGCACGCCCTCACAACTAACGAATAAAGTCGAGAGCACACCGGGAATGCGTAGCACGTGCGTCACCCCCACGCCTGGTGTATAAAAGGCGTGCTCACGACGCACGCTCGAGTGTGCAACAGTTTTCAAAATTTTCAAATTTTTGCTCAATTCAGTTTCTAATATGCCTCCAAAAGGCAAGAGAAAGAACCTTACATAGTAGGAAAAAGGGAGGAGGAAGAAGAAAGAAGAGGAGAACAGGAAGCAAAACTGACGTACGCCGTCAGTACGTCACCACAAACGTGTGAGGCAAGTGTGAAGCAAAACTGACGCAAAAGGGCACTACATTCGCCGTGCGTTGCATTCCTTTCGTAAATGGTGAGTGTGTGCCACGTACACAGGAAGCAAGACAAACTCAAGAAATGAGTACAATTTCCACGGCCATCGCTCCTTGCAATTAGCGTCCCTGCTTGAAAGGACATCTCATGTGGCCCTTGCGACTCGCAAGGCAGACTTTCCTCTATCTCTACGACCTCCACGGCCTCCGCAACACCCAAAATTCGCAGGGGACGTACGATCCTGAAATTCGTGCGTCCGGTTGTGACCGAGGCTTAAAGCAATGAATACAACAATGATCAAAATAAGCAGTTTGTTTTTGTACTGCAATATGTTTTAGATTTAGTGTTACACACCATTACTGTATTTTAGTATAATGGACAGAATGTATGTCAACATATTTTATTCATTATGTACAGTGGCACTAGATGTCCCTGGCATATAAGCAGCTATTAACAGTATCATGGCATTATCGTGGTCAGTGTTATGAGTGCCATGTGACCGGACATGCCACACTTAATGGTCAATATCACATAATTCCACCCAAGCAGGACGCTGAGGGTTTGTTTAAGTTTAAATCCTCACGGTGACGAAAATCGACCGAAATGGCGCCTTTGTTTTGCAAAAGAGTCGTGCCTTTATACTATGAGTCATGACGTTTCGATCCTCCATCAGAAGCCCTCGATCACATGACTGACTCGTCGATAACAGCTCCGGAGATGACAGTGAAAGCCTCTTTTTCACTGAAACCACAGATTCTCTTAGTGAATAAATAATCTAAAAAGGCAGCACTTTCGTAAATGAAGGCTTTTCAGTTTTGTCCTTGCTTTTCTTATTAAATCCAAGGTTTCGTTTCAGTCTGGTAATGTGTCTCCCTAACGTCACGCCATCCAGGGCGACAATGCCGATTATGATTCCTAGGAGGATAAAGAGCCCAAATGTCCCAATGACCACCGCCCCTTCGGCCTCCACCGGCGGTTCCCCTCTCTGTTTGGCAGATAAGGGCAGGGCTTGTGCGGGGGCGTCTGAAATCGGACAAAAATCTCGTAAAGGCACAAAATTAGTGTTATACTGTATATAGAAAAATATCATTATCCTAGATATTTCAACTCTCGGGCCAAGGACTACAGACAGTTCCAAGAGAAAGAGTGGATGCCGAGAATAATGTCACAATGAATTGGGTATAATAATGGAAAATTGTTTGCTTTTATCTCGTGCCATTTTTATTTTGAAGGAGGATGGGGAGAAAGTGCCTTTTCCGAAGCTAAGGGAGGAGGAGGGGTGTCCCATAAATCCTCTTCCCCTTTCCCCGCCCCCCTCCCCAGATCCGCCACTGCGCACTTACGCAAACGTACAGTACGCACGTACCCGAGCACTCCTTGAGAACTGGTGTCCACACTCCGTGTATATTGCATTTGGCTGTTCGCTGTGTAAAGCCGTCAGGGAAAGTGGTGCCGTTCTGACAGCTGTATTTTATTACAGAACCGTACGCCAGACTGGTGAAGTTCATCGACTCCACGCTCTGAAGAGTTGGTGGCGGGGGACACGTTACAACTAAAATGCATAGATAGATTTAAAACTTACTCACATAATACCTGATGGCAATAGATAAAACAAAACAAATGAAACATCTAATTTCCATGTAGAAATGAATGCATTTGCGAATAAAAATTAACATTATCTTTTAAAATTCCTTTAAAGAAATTTACGAAAAAAGCTAACCACGCTAGGTTGTTACCTTAAAAGAACGTCTTCATTTTATAAATGAAAAGTGGTTTTATGTGAATCTACACAAGAATGAGGACAGGTACAGGAGTAGGCCGTGGGAATATGACTGTTCTCTCATATTTGCCAGTTTTGTTACCTGTGCAACGCCAATTACTGGGCAAAGGCGCCCAAGCCCCGTGCTCCAGACAGACAAAGTCCGCCGTTTTGGTAGTATTATCAAACCATAGTCCAGAATGGCACCGAACTCTTACAGCCGTTCCTAGCATGGTGGTTGTATCATTCAGCGTAATATTGGATATCTGTTGGTTAAGTGATGGGCACTCTGAAATATCAAATATAAGGATTTTTTGGCGAAGTACTACAAAATAATACAATGCCTGAATTATTTATTGAAAGACGTGTTACACGGACATTCTTACAGAAAAAAACAAGATTTTTTAATTTGCAATGTGCGATACTAAAATGGTATGATGTGTGAATCATCCAGATACATATTCCACCCCAGCAGGAAAAAGACGCGACACAAAGATATCAAGATGTGAAGTTCGTCTTACTTTTATATTAACCGATCAAATTCATTATGATATCATTATATGCTTTATTTGCCAAGGGTGATGTGGAATAGTAAAAACAGTTAACACATACTGTGTTAATTAATAGAGAGATGTATCAAGAAAAATTGAACTGTCCCATAATATCGTCACAAATGTATTAATTACAGATACCAAGACAATCATTCAGCGTCAAAACACATTATTCCATCAACAACAATAAAAATCAGCGTTATTACCACTACAATTGTGACGGGTTTTTTTCACATTTTTGGAAGAATATGTTTTTCATCTGTTACTGTGTATATCACAACTGATGAATAATCTGGCTCGCTATACCAAGATACATTTCCACAAACAAATAGCGGCGGGTTCAAAAGCTTCTGAGATGCAACACACACACACACACACACACACACGCACGCGCGCACACACACACACACACACACACACACACACACACACAAACACACACACTTCTTCCACCTAAAGAAACACTTTAACTAGCGAGAAAAGACAAAACCACTGTCCCTCCACATCAACTGTCACTTCACTAACTACCTTTGCATTCCCAAGAGGTCTCCCGAGGACTCCAGGACGCGTTCGCCAGACAGGTAAAAGTGATGCTCACAACATC